AGGAAAGAAAGAAAAGACCAAAATGGATGTCAGAAGAGACTCTGAAACTTGCTCTTGAACATTGAGTAGCTAAAGCAAATGGAAGAAATCAAGAAGTAAAAGAGCTGAACAGAAGATATCAAAGGGCGGCTCGAGAAGACAAAGTGAAGTATTATAATGACATGTGCAAAAACCTGGAGATAGAAAACCAAAAGGGAAGAACACACTCAGCATTTCTCAGGCTGAAAGAAATGAAGAAAAAATTCAAGTCTCGAGTTGCAATAGTGAAGGATTCAATGGGAAAATATTAAAGGACACAGGAAGCATCCAAAGAAGATGGAAAGAATACACAGAGTCACTGTACCAAAAAGAATTGGTTGATGTTCAGTCATTTCAGGAGGTAGCAGATGATCAAGAACCAATGGTGCTAAAGGAAGAAGTCCAAGCTGCACTGAAGACATTGGCGAAAAACAAGGTTCCAGGAATTGACAGAATACCAGTTGAGATATTTCAACAAACAGAGGCAGCATTGGAAGTACTCACTCATCTATACCAAGAAATTTGGAAGACAGCTACCTGGCCAACTGACTGGAAGAGATTCATATTTATGCTATTCCCAAGAAAGGTGATCCAACTGAATGTGGAAATTATCAAATAATGTCATTAATATCACATCCAAGTAAAATTTTGCTGAAGATCATTCAAAAGTGGCTGCAGCAGTACATCAACAGGAAACTGCCAGAAATGCAAGCTGGATTCAGAAGAGGATGTAGAACAAGGTATATCACTGCTGATGTCAGATGGATCTTGGCTGAAAGCAGATAACACCAGAAAGATGTTTACCTGTGTTTTATTGACTATGCAAAGGCATTCGACTGTGTAGATCATAACAAATTATGGATAACATTGCGAAGAATGGGAATTCAAGAACACTTAATTGTGCTCATGAGGAATCTGCACATAGATCAAGAGGCAGTTGTTTGGCTAGAACAAGAGGATACTGCATGGTTTAAAGTCAGGAAAGGTGTGCGTCAGGGTTGTATTCTTTCACCATACCTATTTAATCTGTATGCTGAGCAAATAATCTGAGAAGCTGGAGTATATGAAGAGAACTCAGCATCAGGATTGGAGGAAGACTCATTAACAACCTGCATTATGCAGATGACGGAACCTTGCTTGCTGAAAGTAAAGAGGATTTGAAGCATTTACTGATGAAGATCAAAGACCACAGCCTTTAATATGGATTACACTTCAACATAAAGAAAACAAAAATCCTCACAACTGGACCAATAAGCAAGATCATAATAAACGGAGTAAATATTGAAGTTGTCATTTTACTTGGATCCACAATCAACATCCATGGAAGCAGCAGTCAAGAAATCAAACAACACATTGTATTGGGCAAATCTGCTGCAAAAGACCTCTTTAAAATGTTAAAAACCAAAGATATCACTTTGAGGACTAAGGTGTGCCTGAACCAAGCTGTGCGTGCAAAAGCTGGGCAATGAATGAATAATGAAGAAGAACTGACACCTTTGAATTATGGTGTTAGTGAAGAATATTGAGTATACCATGGACTGCCAAAAGAACAAACAAATCTGTCTTGGAAGAAGTATAGCCAGAATGCTCCTTAGAAGCAAGGATGGCGAGACTTCGTCTCACATACTTGGACAAGTTATCAGGAGGGACCAGTCCCTGGAGAAGGATATCATGCTTGGTAAAGTAGAGGGTCATTGAAAAAGAGGAAGACCCTCAATGAGATGGATTGACACAGTGGCTGCAATATTGGGTCAAGCATAACAGCCATCATGACGATGGCGCAGGACTGGGCAGTGTTTTGTTCTGCTGTATATAGGGTTGCTATGAGTCAGAACCAACTCGACGGCATTCAACAACAACAAATTTGTTTATTCCATCATTCAACTAGTTTTTATTGAACACTGACTATATGCAGGCCACTATTCTAAGTGCTGGAGATATAGCAGTGAGCAAACCAATGACTCTGCCCTTGTGGAGCTCAAATTCTCATTCGGAGGAACAGATAACAAACAATATAAACAGACAAATAGCATGTCAGAGGTCAGTGAATGCTCTGAAGAAAAATAAAGTGGAAGAAGAGGCTAGAAAGTGATTTGTGGTTGGGCACCTAGGGAGGGGAATTCCAGGTAGGGAGAGGGGTAAAGGGGGAAGAACACATCCTCCAGTGACTTGCAGGCCATGATGAGACCCTTGTGCTCTACCCTGAATGAAATGGAAGGCAAGGACGCCGACAGCTGGTGGAGAAGAGGCTGCCAGGTGGCAGGGGGCACTTGGCGGGAGGTGTGAGATGAAGGAACCCAGCATCTTCGGGGCAGTGGAGGCGAGCAGCTCTGTGAGCAGGGTCCAGCACACCTCAGCTGAACAGCACAGGCACAGAGGAAGGGCTGTGGCTTTCCAGGGTCTCCCCTTCGGAGCATCTCTGGTGTCTGTGGTGACCACATGGAAAGAGGTCTGTGGCCAGCCTCACTAGTTCTTGACCCTCTTCTTTGTTGTTCAACAAGGGCAGAGCCAGGTGTCAGTGAGTTACATTGAAACCCAGCCTTTGGTTCTCAGGAGTTCAAGTCCCACGTGGTGGAACCCAGGCACTGGCACACATGGGGATGAGGGATGAGAGCAGGCAGTGGTGGCCTGTCAGCTGAGATGGGGAGCTGTTGCACACTCACTATGACTTGCCCTTCATCCGCCACTGAGCTTATGTAACCCAGCAAGTTGGGAGTGCAGCGTCTGGCAAGTGCACCTTGGAAAGCTGGAAAGAATCAATCAGTGGCCCTCATGCCCAGGGCAAACACAGAGTTTCCTTTTGAAAACTGGATGCGTGCCCTGTCCAAGCCTTCACAGCCACATTCTTGCATTTCAAGACAGAACAAAGCAGACAACCCAAGACCTAATCCCCAAAATGGAGGCTTATAGGGATTACACTGTAGCCCACTCAAATGTAATATATGTATTATTTTTTCTTGTCACACAAACTTCCTGGGCAGGGACTCCAAGGGCCAAGAGGGTGGAAAGAAGGGTCCTTAAACACGTCTCCTCCTGCCTCTTGCTCACTCCTGGAACTCAAGTCACTGGGAGAGGCTGTGTCAAAAGTAATCCTCTATCCCTTAGTTCCATTTTCTCTCTAGGTTGGAGTATTTGGGAGTCCTCCATCCTCCTGCATCAGGGGAGCTGGTGCAAAGAGCATCTCGACAGCTCTGCTGTACATCCTGGGCTCCAGGGGGATGAGGTCTTGGGATCCGGGGGCAGGAGGGGTGGTCAGTGGAGAAGGTGTGATGTACTATCAGAAGACCATTTCACACGGAAAGCAGTGGAGCCAGGTAGCTAAAGGCATGAGATAGATCTAGGTTCAAATCTTGATTTGCCACTTGCTGACTATGAGAGCAAAGACAGAGCAGTCCAGTTTTCTCAGGCTGGCTTTCCCCATCTGTTAACTGGATTCCTAATGGTTCCTTCTTCCCGGGCAAGGTTTTTGTGAGGATCAAAGGAGGTTATGAAGGTGAAGCAGTCAGTTGGTGCCTGGGGGCAAAGGCAGCATAGATGAGGGAAGTGGGTGCTAGAGAACGAGGTGGACCAGAACCAGACCGGTTCTGCGAGTGGACCCAGAGTATACGAATAGCTGCCAGGTGGTGCCGGCTCAGTTACTTCTCCAAACGTCTTGTAATAACTAGGAAGTAGAGATATTATCACCCTGGTTTATGAGGAGGCCCAGAGAGGCCCACTCACCTGGGCCATCCTGCTGTCTGGTGGCCAGAGGCTGCTGCCCCGATTTGACCATAAGAAGCTCAGGAGGGAAAGAGACCTTCCTGCGGGGCGGTGTTCTCAGGCCGTGGTCAGCAGAAGGGCCTGGCCGAGAGGAGCTGTTAGACTGTAGGGAGAGGGCACTTCATGGCCAGCAGTCCCACTCTTTCCTCCACAGAAGGCCCTGGAGCTGGGTCCAGGGTCAGCACCTAGGGGAAGGGAGGCAGAATTGGAAACAGAATTATACACATACCCATATAAAAACTATATAATTATATATATATATATATATATATATATATATGGAGCCCTGGTGGTTAAGAGCTTGGCTGCTAACCAAAAGGCTGGCAGTTCGAATCCACCAGCCACTCCTTGGAAACCCCATGGAGCAATTCTACTCTGTCCTATATGGTCGCTATGAGTTGAAATTGACTTGAAGGCAATGGGGTTTTATGTATATATAATACCTTTTTTTTCAAATGGAAGTAGCCTTATTGTTTTTCTCCTGATTTTTAATGTTACACAGTGTCTGTAACAGGATGAGTATCTCTGGGAGGGACATCTCCAGAGGAGAAGAGAAAGACAGTGAGGGCTTGGTTACAGGGGCTGCCTCTGTGGAGGGGAACTGGGCAGCTGAAGGACAGGGAGGAGGGAGACTTGCTCTTCTTTGTGCCCCGTTGTGTAGCTTTTAATTTTCTACCATGAACGTGTATTACTTACCCAAATACGTAACAAACATTAAAAAAATATAAGCTCATTGCAGTAGAGGTCAAACACTACAGAAGATGAAAACAAAGATCACCAATAAAGATTCCACCTCCACCAATTGCCACCACATTGGAAAGTGGTCTGGCTCTGCGTGTCCTGCGTTTTGTGTGTTTGCCTTGGCAGGGTGGAGGAGGTGGAAGGACCTGAGACATGCCAGCTCGCTGCAGAGAACCCCACCACTGGCAAATGGACTTTGGATCATAGGAATGAGTTTGTCATCTGCTCAGGAGGGTATCAGGACACACGGAAAAGCCAGGATATCTGGGGTAGGAAGCTGAGAAGGAAGAAGGCAGAAAAGGGAAAGTAGCGGGAGTGCCATTTTCCCCAGGCCCCTTCTCCTGGAGGACTAAGGAGTGGTGAAGCGCTGTCCTTGGCGCTGCAGATAGTCCCAGGGACAGGGCGGGGCGCCGGACTGCAGCCCTGGGTCAGGGACGCCCCTTTTTCTCCCTGCTTCAAGGCGCTCTCTTTCCCCACGCACCATGAGCAAAATTAGCGACGCACTGAAGCGAGCCAGAGCCGTCGTCTGCTTCTGCTCGGGCAGGACGCGCCCGCTGCAGTTCCGGGTTCAGCGGCTGGAGGCGCTGCGGCGCATGATCCAGAACCTCGAGAGGGACGTCCCTGAGGCGCTAGGCGCCTATCTCAGCAAAGTGCCTCCGCTCAAAGACCACCTCTCCTCACACGCCAAAACCCGCGCACGAGGGCCTGCAGGGCAGTGAGGAAGGCAGCTTCTGTACGCCACAGCGGGAGGGGTCCATAGCGCTGTCACCCCACTGCTACCAGGGGCACCTGTGGCGGTCAGATGCTCTGTGGGAAGAGCTTTACATAGATGCTCACTAGTCCGTTTCATAGATGGAGAAAGTGCAGCTCAGAAAGGCCAAGTAGCGACTTGGAGCGACTGAGACTGGGCTAGCAACCCGCCCAGAGCCTCGCCTCCCCATTACCTGCCGCCTTACCTGCCGCCCTTTTTCCCTCTCGCTGGCCCTGCTGCACCCCACTTGCCCCTCCAGGGCCTCTCCTTTCCCCCATTTGCCTACCGTTCCCTCCTGGCTTCACTTCGTTTCCATCCAGCCTGAAGGGTGAGTCCAAATGTTTCAAGCATCTTCTGCAGACATGATGCCCCAAACTTCCTGCCACCTCACTCCTGCAGCCCTCAGATCCCCAGGTCCTCGCTGAGGAAACCTGGATCTCCTAGGGAACAGCACACAGCCTGCCACGCCAGAGGGCCGGGGTCCACCCTCCACAACTGCCCTCCCTCCTCCCTCCTTCCCCACTTCCCTCAAGCTCCGTGTGCCCCTTACCCTGAGCAAAACCAGGGGCCCCCAAATTCACAAGCCATCCACTGGCTGCTCCACAGAGTAAAGCTCATGCCTCCATTTTGTAAATCAGAAGCCTGGGGTTAGGAGAGATTGAGCAGCTTGTTCAAGACCCCAGAACCCACAACCAAGCCTGACTGACCCCCACTTGCCGTCCAACCCCCCCCCCCGGATGCACGGCCACCACTGACAGCTGGCAAGCTTACATGAAGCCCTCTCCATAGAACAAATGGAATGCCTACTATGAGGAGGTGGTGTATATTCCGGAAGACATTGACTACATGATCAAGAAGCTCCCTGAGTGGGCAGCAGATGAGCCCGTGGAGAAGACTCCCCAGACCCAGCAGGACGAGCCCTACATCCACTCATAACCCCTGGGTGTGGTCTTCATCATTGGCACCCGAAACTACCCCTTCAACCTCACCATCCAGCCGATGGTGGCCGCCATTGCTTCAGGTGTCAGGGCTCTGTTCTGGGGAGGGGACATTGTGGGATTACCACATCCAACAGCAGAAGGAGACAGGGGCTGAGTCTGGGGTCAGATGATGATTTGATAGACTCTGTCTTTCACAGGGGGCTGAGAGGACCAAACTATTGAGCCTCGTGGTGACCGAGGCCTAGCCAGTCCTCCCTGCCTGCCTCCCCCTGCCTGTGTGTGTGAGGGCAAGGGCTGCTCTTGACAGATATTTATCAGGGCATCCCTGGGTGGTGCAAAAAGATAAGCGTTTGACTACTAACTGAAAGGTTGGCAGGTTGAATCCACCCAGAAGCACCTTAGAAGAAAGGCCTAGTGATCTACTTCCAAAAGGTCATAGCCATTGAAAACCCTATGGTACACAGTTCTACTCTGACACTCATGGGGTCACTAGGAGTAGGAATCAACTCCATGGCAACTGGTTCTTACCAGTAGGATCCAGCTCTGCTCTCCCACCCAGGGCTTGAGCTCTTCTTTCCCCTTTCTCCTTCCATCTTCTCCAAAATCTGAGCAACGGCTGAGGGGCATGTGGTATAGTTGAGCCAGTGGGTACCCATGTGTGGGCTGGTATGCCTCTCTCCTGTCCACTCACTGAGGATGCAGAAGATGGAGGGCAGAGGTTCTGGTGGAGTGGCCATGAGTCTGTGTGCTCTGCAGGGAATGCAGCGGTCCTCAAGCCCTCGGAGCTGAGTGAGAACATGGCGAGCCTGCTGGCCACCATCATCCCTCAGTACCTGGACAAGGTGAACTGCTCTCCAGGGCTCAAGCATAGCTGTGTTGGGGACCAGGTCTTTGGGGGCTGAGAATGAGTGAATTCTTGCAGCCGGGGGTGAGCCAGAGGGTGGGGACAAGGATAGCCCCTAGCAGCTGCCCTCTCCCATTGGAATGAACATCACTGAGGACAGCCTTTGAGTCAGGAGAGGGGCTCCTCTTGTGAGTGGTTGCCTGGGCAGGGAGCTGGGCTGTAGGACTGTCCACCCAAGTGTGCAGGAGTGAGGAAAGACTACAGTCTCTTCTGACCCTCCCCTCCTCACACTGAAGAATCTGTACCCAGTGATCAACAGGGGTGTCCCTGAAACCACGGAGGTGCTCAAGGAGAGATTTGACCACATCTTGTACAGGGGGAGCACCAGTGTGGGGAAGATTGTTATGATGGCCGCTGCCAAGAACCTGACCCCTGTGACACTGGAACTGGGATAGAAGAGCCCCTGCTACGTGGACAAGGACTGCCATCTGGACGTTGCCTGCAGGTGAGGGGCTCAGGCTATATGGACAGCAGAGGCCTCCCTGTTTGCCTCCAGTGCCATGGTCCTGCGCTGAATAACACAAATGTCCTCCCCACCCTCATGGGGAGGTACCATGTCACGAGGAGTCTGGGAGGCTTCCTGCAGGGGGAGGTCTAGGTTGAGCTCTGAGCACTGAGTAGGCATCACCTTGGAAGAGGTGTCCAAGCCAAGGGAACAGCCCCTGGAAGACTGGAGGACAAGAAGGCCGAGGACAGTCACAGAATGGACAAGGTTGCAGGTTACTGAGTCTACCCTTCTGGCTTGGGGCAGGTGGGTAAGCTGAGGTCTGGAGAGCAGGAGGACAGGAGAGGACAAGGGTCATCTGTTGCTCAGATTTGTACCATACTCCATGTGTGTGGCCCTCTGAGAGTGGGGTGACATGAGGCTGTGCAGGGCTCTGAGAGGGTGACTGGGGAGTCAACAAAGGCCGCTTACCCCGGCATCTCCCAGAGATCCCCCTCCAGACTACTGATGGGGCTCCAGAAGGTCTGTGAGCTGCTCAGGGGTTGGCTCCCTGTCTAGAAATGAGTAGGATACTTAGGGAAGCCTCACAGCAGACAGTTCACAGCCCCAGGCTTCTGCTGGAGTCATCGGATGGTGTAAACGGTTAACGTACTCAGCTACTGACCGAAAGGTTGGATGTTCAAGTCCACCCAGAGGTGCCTCAGAAGAAAGGCCTGGTGATTTACTTCCAAAAAATCAGCAATTGAAAACCCTATGGAGCACAGTTCTACTGTGACACACATGGGGTTGCCATGAGTCTAGGTTGACTCTACCGCAACTGGTTGTGGGTTTCTGCTGACTAGTGAGGGTGCCTCCAGCACTGAGCCAGTTGTGCCTTGAACTTGAGCAAACAAAATAAGATGCCTGCTCTTGGGAAATGTCCTTATGGGACGTAGTCTGATTTGGGGTTTTCACAGGCGCAACACCTGGGGAAAATTCATGAACAGTGGCCAGACCTGCGTAGCCCCTGACTATATCGTCTGTGACTCCTCTATCTAGGGCCAAATAGTGGAGAAGCTCAAAAAGTGCCTGAAAACGAGTGTGGGCCTGTGGGGGTGCTGGGAGCGGGCAGATACGTGAGGGGAGGCTGTGAGCAGTAAGTGGCTATGGTGTGACAACCGACTTTCAGGACTGCAAAAAATGTTTTTTTGTTTTGTTTTGTTTTGAGCGTAAAAGTAATACATACGTAGATAATTCGGAAAATATTAAAAAATATAAAGTAAAAAGCTCCACCCAGAATCCTGCCTCCCAAAGGTAATCACTGCTGACATTTTAGTGCATCTCCTTGCATTTTCCTTTCTGTGTACCTGCATATATCAATGTGTTTTTTCCTAACACAACAGTACAGTTTTAACAGTCCTGTATCACATGTGCTCCTCTTCCCTACAGGAGTTCTACAGGGACGATGCCCAGAAGTCCCAAGACTATGGAAGAATCATGAACTCCCATCACTTCCAGAGGGTGATGGGCCAGAGAGTCGCCCATGGGGACACCAGGGATGCAGCTTCCTGCTACATAGATAGGTGCCCTTGACCCAAGGAGCTCTGCCCCCCCGGCCAGGCTGCCAGGGTTGCCTGCCAGTTTATAGCAAGTGGCCACAGACACTTGACAAGCAGATTATGCGCCCATCGTGGGGAGGTCTAGGGCTTGCCGCAGGCAGCACAACCTCTGTAAGTCCCCTCTCCAGCCCCAGAAGCCCCTCTCCCAACAAGGCCCCCTGAAGGGGGGACACTCAGGTCTCCAGGTGTGCCGATCCAGGGGAACCCCAGTGCCTGGGCCTGAGAGGGCATGAGATGGGCCTCTTTTGGCCCCCAATTTGCCAGGGAGACTGAAGTGCTACAGCCCCCTGGGGCTCCCTCTCCCCCTGGATAAAGGTTACTCTGCAGTTCTCCTGATGGTCTGCTGGGCTAGGCCCTGGGTATGAGGAACCATGGGAAAAGCTCTCTCCGGTTCTCAGCAGCTGTAGAAGAGGTGAAGGAGGATGTCCAGATACTTGGACTTGCTGAAGAGCAGAAGGGCCTGCAGCCTGCTGACAGTGCTTGTTCCCGCCTCAGCCCTGACCATCCTCACGGACGTGGACCCCTGGTCCCCGGTGATGCAGGAGGAGACTTTCGGGCCAGTGTTACCCATCTTGTGCGTGAGAAGCCTGGACGAAGCCATCCAGTTCATCAATTGGCATGAGAAGCCTCTGACTCTCTATGTATTCTCCTGTAACAACCAAATGGGCCTGGGGCTCCTCCCAGGGGCTGGGGCTCCTGGACCCAGCACGCATGGGACCCAGGGCCACAGACCTGAGCTCAAGTCCCAGCATCACTGCTTATCGGCTCTGTGACCTGGGCAAGTCTTTTAGCCTTTCTGAGCTTCTTTTTCATAGTCTCTAAAATCAGGGCAGTAATACCCACCTCAGAGGTTGTAGTGAGCATTGAATGAGATGCTCGACATGAAAGTGCTTATAAGACACAGTGCCCTTTACACAGTCATAGAAGCTGTTGCTATTGTTATTTCCTCTGGGTGCTAAGGGTGGGACACATGAGGATAGCAAGAGATAGCGGCTGTGGCCTTGGGGCTCCAGGGTTTGTGGAGACAGGGAGAAGGAGGCCTGGGTGTCCTAGAGCAGGAAACTGAAGCCAGGGCCTGGGTCTGTGTTGCAGGTGATTAAGAACATGATTGCAGAGACGTCCAGTGGTGGGGTGATGGCCAACAATGTCATCGTCCACATCACCATACACTCGTTGCCCTTTGAGGGGGTGGGTGAGTCTGGGGCTGAGCCCACTGCCTACCTGCCCCCTCCTGGTGTCCTGGGGCAGCCCCCCAGGGCCAGGCACACTTTTCCTGGGGAACACAGGAGGAGCTGGAGCAGCCAGGGTCACAGATGCCCACAGACCCCTCCTGTTTGGGACTCTGGCTCTGCTAATACATCAGCCACATTTAACCTCAGAATCCTAGAAGGTCCTTAAATGTCAACTAGTGCACCGGATCCATTTCATGGAGGCTCTAAGAGGGCAACACTCCCTGTTGTCCCAGCGTGGACACCCTGGGGGACATCTTGAGGGATCAGCCAACCAGGGAGGCCCAGAGAGGAGGCACGTGAAGGTCGTAGCTGGGTTAAGGTGGGTGAGCTCTGGGTAGAGCCTTGTGGGACAGGACTATGGCCCAGGGTTCTTAAGCCATCTGGGCCCTGAGCCACTCTTCCCACAGGGCACAGAGGCATGGGCTCCTACCATGGCAAAAAGAGCTTTGAGACCTTCTCCCATAGCTGCTCTTGCCTGGTGAGACCTCTGCTGAATGATGAGGCCCAGAAAGCCAGATACCCGCCGAGCCCATCGAAGGTGAGAGGTGGGAGTGGAGGTGATGGAAGCCACTGGGCCAGCAGGGTGAGGTCCTGGTCTCAGGCTCACTCCCTCCTCCATTGCTTTCCTCACAGATGTGCCACCACTAATGAGGAGCCCTCCGCCTGCCTGTCTGCACCTAAGCTTCCACCTGCTGCTCCCCTGCAAGTGTGGGAGACCCTCACACTCTTCCCCAGCCCTAGCCTCTTGTTCCTTGCCAATCTGTGCACGTACCCTGATTCCCCTGACCTCCACCACTGGGGCCCCCACAGGCCCTGGGCCTCCCCTCTCCATGTCCCTGCCCCCTTACTAGACACATATAGAGACCAATAAAAATATTTCTAACCAGTGGATCAGTTCGTGAGCACGCTTCTTTGCAGCCATGCCTCCAACTGCCCTGCCTGGTTTGACTGACAAGCCAGTGAACCCCTCTCCAAAGCTTCCCATTAGCCACAGGATCCTCACAGCAAGAGGCAATGGTGTTGTGATGTTTTCCTTCCATTTGGACTTTGGTGTTTCAGTTCCATTACTGGTGTGCAAACCCTTGTCCAGCAAAGGAGTGGCCACGGAGGGTGAGCTTGATGACAAGTAGCTCAGAGACCAGAGACCTAATTGTATTTAGTGTGTGAGGCAGGAAGCGTATCAGTGAGAGTCAGGGAGACAGAAGGTAGTTAGCTGTTGAAGCAAGGTCCAAGTTCGCCAAGAAAGACACAACTCACACACAGGCATTGGCTGGAACAATGCTGTTATGGATTGAATTTTGTCCCCCCAAAATATGTGTTGTAAATCATATCTGTGGATGGAGCCCTGGTAGCGGAGCAGTTAAGAGCTCAGCTGCTAACCAAAAGGTCAGCAGTTCAAATCCACCAACTGCTCTTTGGAAACCCTATGGAGCAGTTCTACTCTGTCCTATAGGGTCACTATGAGTCAGAACCGATTCGATGGCACCTAACAACAACAACGTAGCTGTGGGTGTAATAGGGTTTTCTTTGCTGTGTTAATGAGGCCATATCAGTACAGGATGTGTCTTAAGCCAATCACTTTTGAGATAAAAAAGAGCAGATTAGGCACAGAAGCAAGAAAGCAGGAATGGGGGAAAGACAGATGCCACGTGGAGATCTCCAGAGAACTCTGAGAAGAGTGCTAGAGAAGCTGAGACAAGGATTTCCCGCAGAGCAGACAGCCTTCCCCTAGAGCCAGTGTCCTGAATTCAGACTTCTAGCCTCCTAAACTGTGAGAAAATAAATTTCTATTCATTAAAGCCACCCACTTGTGGTATTTGTTGCAGCAGTACTAAGAGACTAAGACAAATACTTTACTCACATAGAGAAGAGACAGAGCAAAATCAGCTTCAATTGTGGCCGTTCATCCCCTGTGGCCAGTGGGTCCCTGCAGCTGACTGGTGTTCTGCACACACTCTTGTCAAGTTGCAGGTGAGGGACCCTGTTCCCTCCCTGCTGGGAACAGACAGAGTAGTGGGGTTGACCAGGTGCCATATGACACACATGCATAAGTAGAACAAAGAGGTACTCATTAGGCCTGAAACAGGGAAGGAGTCTCCCTGATAAGGAAGAAGAAACTGGGACAGAGGGAGGTACAGTTCCCAGCCTCCATTATCAGGGAATGTTCCAGGCCCAAGGCTTCTGATTAGGTAGCCTGAGTGAGAGGCACTGAGGCCACAGCAGCTCATACTCCCAACAGTAATTTCAGAGTGTGGCCTATGGTGGCAGAAGGACAGGAAGCCAGGTCAGCCTGCTACCCCAGGAAGATGATGTCCTTTGCCAGCTTTTTGTCAGGCTAGGGCTGGGCCAGTATGGTCCCAGGGTCTAACAGGTCACAAGGATGCAGGGCAGTGCCCAGGATCAGGAAGACAGTGAGGTGAGGGAAGTCTGTGACAGGGCATTGAGGGGCTAGTCAGAGCAGGAGCCCAATATCAGCCCAGCTGGGCCAAGCAGGTGAGTGGGGACAGGTGGGGTGAGACCTGCTGGAGCTGGAGCCTACCCTACCTGGGTTCTCTGTGCAGGCCTTCATGGCGGTATTGACGTGATCAGAGTAAAGCCCACTTGGCAGCTGGGAGCAATGTGTCTGGCTGGCAAATCTTTTGGACAAGTGTGCCAGTGCTTAGAGCAGATTTCATTGTGAAAAATCTGCAAGCTGGCAGGAACCCCCCCTCTTCCCTTCCCACCCCACTCCCTGCACTAGGCCTGCTGTGCCCTGCCTTTGGGGTCTCACCCCTGCCTTCCTTCCTGCAGCTGTGCACCAAGTACCCTGCTCCCTACAAAGGCCGACCCTCCACTTGGCTCAGGACCCTCCACCCCTTGCCTGCTTCTGAACTTCACTCTTGTAATTATGCTCTCACTCCTTCATCATCAGTCTCTCCTTCTGATAACACACATTCTCTAGTATCTCACATCTTGTTAAAAGCTGTTACCTGTGCTTCCTTCTAGTGAGGGGAACAGGGGCGGGGACTGGGAATAAACAGTTTTGGATTGTTTGGAATGTTTACTGTGTGCAAGTGTTACTTATTTTTACAAATATCCAAATAATTAAATAATAACAAAATCATAACCCAAATGACCTCTAGTTACTGCCCCATTCCTCTACTCTCCTTCACAGCAACACTTAGCCCAAAGATCGTCTATTCTCTGCCACCACTTTCTCACTTCCCACTCTCTCCTCCACCTGCTCCACCTGAGAGTCCATCTCCACTCTACTGAAATGGTTTTGTCAAGGTCACCAAGAACCTCCATGGGGGCAAACCCAACTTTCTCATTTCCGTGTCCAGCCTCCCACACCATCCTTCCTGTCTGACCACTCCTTCAAACTCTCTTTTCTCTAGGTTCCTGGAATGCCACACTCTCCAGTTCTCCTTCTACCTCACCAGCTGCTCTTCCCAAATTGAAGTCTCCAGTCCTGACTCTGACCTCCTGACTCATACATCCAGCTGCCCACTTGACAGGTGGACTTAGATTTTTTGAACAGGAACTTCATGTTAACATGTCCAAAACAGAAGTCTTGATTTTCCTCTCTAAATCATTCCTCCCCAGTGTGGAAGATGATCTTCCAGAGAGTTTCTCAAGTCAACATCTAGAATCATCCTTGACTCCCCTCTTTCCTTCATGGTCAAGACCTCAGCAAGCCCTCTGGGAACTACCTTCAACTGTAGCTAAAATGTCTAAAACCGTTTGCACTTTCTCCATCACTCCTTCAGTTCTAAGCACTATCAAAAGCCTCCAAAGAAGTCTCCTTTCTTCTACTCTTGCTTCCCTACAATTTGTTCTCCACTGAGTACCCAGATGTCATTCCGAAAATGGAAATAAGATCATGCCATCCTCTGGTTAAAATCTTCCAGTGGTTTCCCATTGCACTTAGAATAAACTCTCAAGTCCATAGATTGACCTTCAAGGTGCTGTACAATCCAGGCCTGCTTTACTCTGACTGCCCTTGTTGAACACACTACAGCAACCCAGAAGGCTCTCCTCTCCTGCAGCTTGGAGCCCTCTTCTAGATCTTTCCATGGCTGGCTCTTGCTCATCACTCCAGTCTCTGGTCAAACATCACCTCCTCAGAAAGATCTTTACTGACCACTGCATCCAAAGTCCTGTCCCCATTCATTTTCTGTCACATTACCTTGCTTTTTTCCTCCAAAACATTTTTTATAATCTGTTTTTATCTCGTTTGATGCCTGTCTTTCCCCGTTAGAATACAAGCACTGACCTTTGTCCAATGTGTACATTATATATCTCTAGAGGCTAGAACAGTAACTAGCACATAATAGGCTCTCAATAAATGTGTTGAGTAAATGAATTAATGAATGACTTTAATGGCATCATTGGTGTTTTGTTGCTTTGAAGCTCTCCCCACTACTCCCCGCCCTATGCCATCATCTTATCTAAAATTACTTGTGATTTTAGATGATTGTTGTTGTTAGCTGTCATCGAGTTGGCCCCCAATACACGGTGACCCCATGCACAATGAGATAGGATCATTGTGATCCATAGGGTTTTCATTAGCTAATTTTCAGAAGTAGATCACCAGGCATTTCTTCCTAGTCCATCTTAGTCTGGAAGCTCTGCTGAAACCTGTTCCGTAACACAGCAACACACAAGCTTCCACTAACAGACAGTGAATCAAGCCCTAGTCTTCCACATGGAAGGTGAGAATTCTACCACTGAGCCACCACTGCCCAGCTGTGAATTAATGTTAATATTATTTCTGACACTTCATCTTTCTAGCTTTGTGGTTTTCTGAGCCTAAGCTAATTCTCTTACTCTGAAATAGACTCTGGAGGTCACCCAGCTGGTGAAGGTTCCCAGAAGGTTTAGAAAGAACGGCCCTTAGAGGGTGGCCCAGCAATAGGCTATGGATGACAAAGGCCCTCACATTAGCACAGCCCGCCTGGACATGCTGCCCTCAGGGCCCCTACTGGCCACTCACCTGTGCCAGGTAACTGTGGACTCCTCAGCCAAGGACGCTGTATGAGCTGCATCTTTTGCTTTGTTTATATGAAATTTTGAAAACACCAGCTGGACTTGGCCTAAGCTTCTTAATTCCTAAAGGAAAGGCAACAGAAATTATTTAGGCAGGCAAGGCTGCCACATGTAAAGCACCTGGCCAGGCCCTAAGCCAGCTCTACTGGGCAGGCAGCTTCCTGGCAGTATCTCTGTCTGTCTGCCCTCCTCTGTCAGGTCCAGGATCTGGGGTGCCTGGGGGAAACCATACTCTCTTCAATGTGCAGCTTTCATCTCTCTCTGTCTAGTTTCCTTGCCCAGCACTGAAATTCTGGCTAAAATGCAGGACACTGCCCTGTGACGGCCCTCCACTCTGCCAGACTCTGCCCCTGGGAAACTTAGTGACCTGGGAGCTCATTCTTGGCATCTGTCTACACTTTGGAGAGGCTTAGCCTCTTAGCCAAAGCTGGAGGAGTGGGAGGCACAGCAAGGGGGGTAGGAAGGAAGGACAGGCTGTGTGGGGAGGAGCTGTTCTCTTCTGTACTTTGACTCAAGCTTCTAAGTTGACTGATGGGAAGAAAGCTCCCCCTCCTTAGTTTCCTTACACGACAATGGTGCCATGCAGGTGCCAAGCTCCCCAATTGCCTGCCTTGCCCATCCTGGGAATGCTGCGCAGACCTGGTCCCAAGGTGCTGCATTCACAGAACATCTCCCCTCTGGGCCAGGGCCATACATGACCTCACAAGTCCTCATGTGACCTTCTGGGAAATAAATGTTAGTGCTGGCAACTGTTGTGCTTGGGAAAGACAACAGCTTCCTGTTCCCAAAGCCTGTAGTCCTAATAGGAGTTTATAGGGTTGGGGCCCGGTAGAAACTAGAGTAACACCTCCACTACTTTAAAGAGGCAAAGGGGTGAGACCAGAGAATACTCAGGCCAGGACAGATGTCCTGGCAGGAGGGGTGACAGAGCCTTCCTGAGCATTCTAACACAGAGTTCTTTGTCTGAGAACAGGCTAACAGTTACCAGACAAACAGAACAAATATCTTGTTTTCTGTATTTCTGCTCCTAAACCTATGCTCAGTGTGATGTAGGCCCAGAAGGCACACACCCTGCTCCTCCTCCATCTTGTGTCCGTGGTAGACATTGTGAGTTGATCCTGGCACTTGTTCCTGCTGAATTGTCTGAGGTTCACAATGTGGCAGTACAGGACAACACAACCAGTCAACCAGAGCTGGCTAGCTGGATAAAAGCTGTTTGCCATTCTAGCTGTAGCAGAAAGAACATGAACTTTGAAGAGACAGACCCAGCCTCATATTCTGGTTCTACCCCTTCCCAGCTGTGTAACCCTGGCAAGTACTTTATTTCTCTGAGCTTTTGTTCTCTCATTTGTAAAATAGGGGCTAAGCATATCTGCCTGACAAGGTTGGTATGGAATTAGATGAGATAATGTGTCTAAATCTGCTGGTCCAATTAGCATATAATGGTGACACATACACCTACATACAGGTGTCTCCAACGGGTGTTGCAAACTGTTAACACACTTCACTGCTAACCAAAAGGTTGAAGGTTCCAGTCCACCCAGAGGCACTTTGGAAGAAAGGCCTGGCAATCTACTTCTGAAAAATCAGCCATTGAAAACCTTATGGAGCACAGGTTAACTGTGACACTCATGGCGTCGTCATAAGTCAGGGTTAACTGGATGGCAGCTAGTTACTTGTTATACCTGTGTTTACTATTACATCAACACATGCACTCCTACATTCTATGCAAACATATTCTGCAGGAAATTTGTAGGGATAAAAATGCTAAATTAGTCAAGAGCCAAGCTAAAGTTTTCTCTTGAATCACCTTCTTCTCCTTCCTTCCTCTACCTTTTCCTTCTTCAACAAAATTTCTTCAATAAAATTGCTTTTGCAGAACTTTTGCAGTGTTCAGTGACATATAAGTAATGTTTGGGCTATTTATAACTCCCATCTAGTAACTTTATCTATTAAACACGAATCAAGGACCAGAACTAAAGAAAGAAAGAAAGAAGATCCTTGTTGTTGTCAGGTACTGTCTAGTCGGTTCTGACTCATAGCGACCCTATGCACAACAGAACAAAACACTGCCCAGTCCTGCGCCATCCTCACAATCATTGTTATGCTTGAGCCCATTGTTGCAGTCACTGTGTCAATCTATCTCATTGAGGGTCTTCCTCTTTTTCAATGACCCTCTACTTTACCAAGCATGATGTCCTTCTCCAGGGACTGGTCCCTCCTGATAACATGTCCAAAGTATGTGAGACGAAGTCTTGCCACCCTTGCTTCTAAGGAGCATTCTGGCTATACTTCTTAGACAGATTTGTTTGTTCTTTTGGCAGTCCGTGGAATAGTCAGTATTCAAATGAATCAATTCTTCTTTGGTCTTCCTTATTCATTGCCCAGCTTTTGCATGCATATGAGGTGATTGAAAACACCATGGCTTAGGTCAGGTGCACCTTAGTCTTTAAAGTGACATCTTTGCTTTTTAACACTTTAAACAGGTCTTTTGCAGCAGATTTTCCCAATGCAATGCGCCATTTGATTTCTTGACTGCTGCTTCCATGGGTGTTGATTGTGGGTCCACGTAAAATGAAATCCTTGACAACTTCAATCTTTTCTTCGTTTATCATGATGTTGTTTATTGGTCCAGTTGTGAGAATTTTTGTTTTCTTTATGTTGAGGTGTAATCCATACTGAAGGCTGTAGTCTTTGATCTTCATCAGTAAGTGCTTCAAATCCTCTTCATTTTCAGCAAGCAAGTTGTGTCATCTACATATTGCGGGTTGTTAATGAGTCTTCCAATCCTGAAGATTCTAATGTTTATTAAATGTCTACTGTGTTCCAGGCATTTCCATATATTTTGGCTCATCTACTCTGTCAGGTTTCATTTCAAAGGAGGAAACTGGCTAAAGAGAATAAGTGATTTGCCCAAGGTCAATACAACAAGAAAGTAGTTGAATCAAAATTTAATGCAGGTCTATCTGAACTGAGCTTAAATTATGTATTTCCTTTTCCAGTCAGTTAGGTTCAACAGCCAAACTACCTCACTGAAGAGGGTGTAGGTGTGAGGGACAAGTGGGGATATCCTCCTCCCTTCCCAGCTGACATCCAAGGTCGTGGAATGGCCCATGGCACCATCTGATTGGTCAAGAAGCGTCCTGCTAAGTGGTGTTCGAGCTCCCCCTGCCTTTCTTGCTTGGTGGTCTGGGAGCTCCTTCCCTCCCCACTTTCCTGCTGGGCAGTCTATCTCCCCAGCCAAGGCCCATGTGGTAGGACAGTGAGGCCAGAGTTTGCTCAGTGGGGTCAGTATGAAGATGGGGTTGGGGGCAGGGGGAGAGCTGAAAGTGCAGGCCTCCTGACAAGCCCCATGTAGTCAGAGTTATGGAGTTGCAAGGAAAAGACCCCCTTCAGATCATCTCAAGTGAAACAATGAGGCTTATTAGAAGGCTGGGGTAGCAGCCTCATAGGGAAAAGGAACAACCAGGCCACATAGTGACCACAAATGGAAAAAATGAATGAATAAATAATAATATTATGGCCCTGTCTCTCAAGGGGCCACAGGGTCTCCATCTCTGCCTCTCTCTGAATCTGCTCTTCTCTTTTCTCCTTCCAAACTGATGTCCTCAGCTGACTCATGCCTCTAGAACCCTCTTTAGTTCAGGTTTCATAGTGTTGCCTGGGGTCCACCAGGCCCCAAGTCTATACTAAATTGTGGTTTCTCTCCTGTCTTCTTTACTTCCCTATCTCCCAGGCCCAGCCTCAAAGCCCTGGGAGAATGACTGCTTCAGCCTGGATGAGGTGTCCAATAAACTGAAGCCAGCACATGGGCCACAGTCACATGGTACATAGGACCTGAGAACAGGCCTCTGTCGGTAATCTAGCCCCTGTGACTCTAGCACTGCAGGGCCAACCAGAGTTTGCAAGAAAGACTCCTGACTTTGGAAACCCCTAGCTGTTGTTGTTGTTAGTCGCCCTCAAATCAATTCCGACTCACGATGACTCCATGTGTACAGAATAGAACTGCTCCATAGGGTTTTCAATCAGATAACCAGACCTGTTTTCTGAGGCACCTATGGGTGGGCTTGCACTGCCAGCTTTTCGGCTAGCAATCAAGCATTTAACCATCTGCGCTGCCCCAAACCAAACCAAACTCATTGACGTCGAGTGGATTCCAACTCATAACTACCCTATAGGACAGAGTAGAACTGCCCCATGGGGTTTCCAAGGCTATAATCTTTATAGAAGCAGACTGCCACATCTTTCTCCCGAAGGACAGCTGGTGACGTTTCAGTTGGCAGCCGAGTGCTTAACCGCTGTGCCACCAGAGCTCCTTTTGTGCTGCCCAGGACTCCTAAAATCCCCTAGTTAGCATTCCGGTGGCTGGGGAGTCTATGAAGACAAGGTCCGTGACAGTAGGTAGGCCCAGAACCTTCCTCTCTTGGTGAACCTATCCCAGGACCACCAGTCTAGACCAGGCGGCTCCAGGAGGCCCCTCTCCCCAGCTGCGCCACATGGTACCTTGGCCCACAGGAATATGGGCCATCTTTGCACAAGGCTGGTCTGAATTACTGCTTGTTTTCAGCAAAGGCCATATTATTCCTACCACAAGGATGGCTGAAGCCAAGGCTCAGCTTCCTGTTTGTGCTCTTCAGTGGGTCATGTGTTGTGACCTTGGAAAACCCTATTTCAGGCTGGCCCCTTCTCCACCTGCTGATGGCCATGACTATGGAAGCTCCATACCCCAGCCCAGCTCCCAGATGGCTCCCACGTAGACATAGCAGCTGCCTCCTGTCCCTGAGTTCTGCCAGGGTCACCCCTTTGTGGGAGCTTGGATTACCCGGCCCACCATATGCCTTCCAAATCCTC